CCCCCATGAGAGATGCATGGATGAGAGACCCCAGGGATGCAGCCCCCCTCCCTGCAAAACAGGTAAGCAGGAGAGGGGGCAATGTTTTAATTATTAATTTTTATTAGTAGTTCTGTGTGTGTGTGTAATGTGTGTGTTTTTAATAAGTGCGTGTATGTGTATGTGTTTTATTGAGTGTATAAGTGCCCATTCATACTGGGCGTTTTATCGCGCGATTTCCGCCGCATGATATTTGCAAGAAGTCGCCATCCAATGCTTTTCAATGGAGCTGTTTTAATGTACAGCTTCATGTCGCCCATCGCTCGTGCAGGACCCTTTTTCCCGTGGATGCCACGCGATTTTTCGATTTTTGCATGCAGCCCGACGGTCAAGGTCGCGCGATCGTCATTGGAACGTCGCCTGAACAGTTGCGCTATCCCGGCCGCGCGGAAATCAGCCCAGGTGAGTGTCGCTCAGTGTGAATGGGGCCTTAATGTTTTAATATGCGGGTTTCTCTATGTTGCCTAAGGCAGTGATGTTGAACGTTTCTTAAACCCGAGCGCCCAAACTGCAATACAATACTAAACTTATTTTCAGCGCTGGCACTTTGAGATAAATAAAGTGATTTTGGGTCGCAGTTTGGACACTCGGGTTCAAAAAGGTTCGCCATCACTGCCATAGAGCACCTTTGGGATGAATTAGAACGGAGACTGCGAGCCTGGCCTTCTCCTCCAACATCAGTACCTGACCTCACAAATGCTCCAACATTCCCATAGACACACTCCTAAACCTTGTGGACGCCTTCCCAGAAGAGCTGAAGCTGTTATAGCGGCAAAGGGCGGAGCCAACTCAATACTGAACCCTACGGACTAAGACTGGGATGCCATTAAAGTTCATGTGCGTGTAAAGGCGTCCCAATACTTTTGGCAATATAGTGTATATATTTAAGTAATCATGCATCTATCAAATTTCACAAACTCACAAAAGCGAACTTTTTATCCGTAAATGTCCAACGATCGTAATCCGTCCTTGCTGGATGGACACATCAATTCCAGTGTTTGGGGAAAAGGTGAGGCTGGAATCGGAGAAATCTATGCTCTTGACCGCTAACCTATAGCGGGGAAAAAAAACTACATTCATTAACTTTGTCCTGAAAAGCAATTTACATATTTCGATGTCACTTTGTATCCATATTGGGAACATTGTAACCCTGCAGGATCAGCTGCCATCCACTCTACCCATCCTGGTCACTTTATTCCTATTCTAGTGGCAACCCAAAATGTGGGATTTTCTTTCACTTTCAGTGATAACATTCACCAGGAGCAATAGAGAAGGTGAATCTCCCTAACGGGGACACAGACAGCAATCCAATCTGAAAGGTTTTCTAATCCACTTTATACAAAACTAATACGTTCAGCATTCCATTATACTTTGATTGATTGGGTATTGATAGTTTCCTGTTTTTGCTTTTATATTGCTGACGATTGATTAAAGTAATTCCTTAGAAGAGACTTGTCACGGATGTCGCCAACTTACTCTGTGACGTAGTAATTTATGCGTCCCACAACGGCGGCAGAGACGGACCCCTCGACGTCGGGGATATGGAGAGTCGTTATTTGCTTTTGCAGCTCCTGTAACCCGACTTCCCAACCTATGAAATGAATTGAAAATGATATTAAACAATAGACGGTGCCAGTGAAAGCGTACTGAGGCCGGCGCCAAAAAGAATAACAATCCAAATGATAACAAGAAATGATATCCTCATACCTACAGCAACCTCCTGCCATTGGATGAAGTCAAACGTTTATTGTTGTGGGTGGAATGGAAATTCCCCTGTGGGGCATTTAATTGCTGGGGACAGAAACAGGGAGAAATGTTCCAAAGGGGACACTGAGGGAATTTCCTCACTAAGAAGAGATTTACTTTCAATTCCCTTTGTGTCTTCAGGACAGAAAGTAAAAGGAAATGCCCCCAATAAGATACAGATGACAAATAAATCACTTTTACTGTATATCTAATACTAAAAAAAGGTTTTGCTTTAGATATTGTTCAGTCAGGAGGTGTTGAGACAGTAAGGGGTTAACGTGGGCGGCATCCTCCATTGCCCTTAAAAAAAAAACAACAACTAATCATCGGCTCTCCTGATTGGACCATTACTGATCCCGATCACTTACCGTACCGCAGACCCTTCAGGGTGAGTCTTCCTACAACGCCTGGGTCTGTCTTGGCCTCTGACAGGATGAAGGCCAAAGCTAAGATCAGAATTGTCTTCATTATCTGAAAGAGGGAGGAGGGTATGTGAGCTAGGTTTGGGGTCTGCTGTGCCCATTATGAGGGGCTCCCACCATCCCTGTGCTGAGTTCCCAGGTCTGTACACCCGCTGTGCCCATTATGAGGGGCTCCCACCATCCCTGTGCTGAGTTCCCGGGTCTGTACACTCGCTGTGCCCATTATGAGGGGCTCCCACCATCCCTGTGCATACACTTTAAGCCATGTTAAGACAACATACAATAACACTGAATGAATGGCCTCCATAGCACGCTTTAAAGTGACCCTGCAACTAATCTAAAAATCAAAAAACAATAAAAAAAATACAATATAACATATATATAAATAATAAAATGTATATAATATAAACAAACAGAGAGATCCAAAGGACAAAGTTTCTGAGGACGCCTCTCCAATCTTTGTCCACATTCTGGAAATCAGAGACAATCAATAACCGTGTGGTCATGTGACACTTACCCGGCCACGTCAGGTGGAGCAGAATTCTCTCCGTTGTCTCTCCCGGTAGTCAGGGAAATTAATTCTGATTTCGGAAGTCTGGGCTGATAGTTATACAAAAACTGAAAGAAGGAAGTAGACTGGGAGGAGTTGGAGTCTGCAAAAATATTGACACATGTATGTATTTCAGATATAACCACCCCTCCCCCTCCCACAGCCCCCCCATAGGCACAATCTGGGCTCAGTGTGTACAATGCATCACTCGTGTTTATTTAGGGACATTTCCAGAAAGGAACAAACACACATTGTTGTCACCTTGTCCATTCACTTCACCGCAAATCAACAACGTCTCCAACCGCCAGAGACTTCAAGGATCAGACCACCCCAAATGAGAATGTGAGTAGTAGGCGGAGCCTAGAGATCCCGGATTCCTATAGGTCTAGGACGGGAGAAGTGAGACTTACAGTAAAGGTATTGAAGCTGCACCATACCTTCTAGAAGATCTCTAGGTGTGTGACTCAGTTGTGGAATTCCCCTGCAGACACAAGTCACGCTCAGATCCATTCCTGGAAGAAGACAATATAACAACAGACGGGAGGAATTTGTAGTTTCTGATCTATGATAATTCACTGGAATAATGAACCATAAAGGAGACCTCTGCTCTGGGCACTCCGAGTCATCTATGGAATCCGTCACGGGTTCCGTGGTTCTCCTTTTACTAATCTGCATTATTCGCCGCAGGCGACCTTCTGCTTGAGGGTAAAAATCAGCTACCGCTGAGCACACAGACTCGTCCTCAGCAGGAAAGGTTAAAGCTCAACTCCTTAAAGTGCATGTACAGCCCAAACTATAATGTAGGAAAGGGTTAGATCTCCTGCCAGGTTATTGTTTGCTGCCCGTGCACCATTGGGGAAGTTTACCTTCACTTCCTGTCCAAGAGACCTAACAGGAAGTTAGAGGAAATCTCCCTAACTTTGGGGAGTTGCCCTTTTAGAGAATGGTCCGCAGAACAGGGAAGATTTCCTCTACTTGTTCTTTGGGACAGCTCTTTGTGTGCACCAAATGCCTTTGCAAACCCAAATGTTACCTTGTAAAATTAGCAGTGGCATCATCACTGTGCTGTACATAGGCCCCACCCAATGCTGGCTGCCTGCAGAAAACTACAGGAGGGGGCGGAGACAAGACCAGTCACCCTGCACAAGGAGAGAGAGCAGCAGTGACCGGTCTTTATGACAGGAGGGGGCGGAGCAAGACCAGTCACCCTGCACAAGGAGAGAGAGCAGCAGTGACCGGTCTTTATGACAGGAGGGGGCGGAGACAAGACCAGTCACCCTGTACAAGGAGAGAGGATTTAGATACGCTTTAAGAATTTCGCTAGCCTGGCCATGACTAGCTCTCTTTAAAAGCAGTTGGTGCAACGGTAAACCTGGTTGGTTCTAAATACGACCTTGATTGCCCTTTGAAGTGCAGGAAATGTAAATGGCGTTGAGTCCATGACGTTGGATCTTCTGAGAGGTGAATGACCTCAACATCCCCCTCGGTGTACAATAGCCGATAGAATTTATTATATGACTTATAACTATATGAATCAGGAGGGGAGAATCATTGTAGAGAGCAGCAAAGCATTCTGGGAATAATAGAACGAGGGGTCGTATCCCGTCCGGGGATTGGGACACAATGAGAATAGAAAGTTCTCAGTGATATCCGTAGTTCCTGTATTATATTCTTATTATTAGCAGGAATAAGGAACCGTCCACAACAATGAGACAAAGAAATCTCCTTCCATTGTCATCTCCAACAACATCACATGATGAGTACGGACAATGCTCACTACAACCTGTGATCAGAGGGGGGGATTTACTAAAACTGGAGCATGGCAACCAATCAGCTTCCAGCATTCATTTCCAATGCTTAACTGTGCAAGTGGGAGATAGAAGCTGATTGGTTACTATGTACAGAAGACCGTGGAAGCCCCACCCACCACATGCTTCCTGCAGAAAACTACAGGAGGGGGCGGAGACAAGACCAGTTACCCTGCACCCAGTAGAGAAAGCAGCAGTGAGCGGTCTTTATTACAGGAGGGGGAGGAGACAAGACCAGTCACCCTGCACTAGTAGAGAAAGCAGCAGTGACTGGTCTTTATTACAAGAGGGGCGGAGACAAGACCAGTCACCCTGCACAAGTAGAGAGCAGCTGTGACCGGCCTTTATTACAGGAAGGGGAGGAGACAAGACCAGTCACCCTGCACTAGTAGAGAAAACAGCAGTGACTGGTCTTTATTACAAGAGGGGGCGGAGACAAGACCAGTCATCCTGCACAAGGAGGGAGAGCAGCAGGGAGCGGTCTTTATTACAGGAGTGGGCAGAGACAAGACCAGTCACCCTGCACAAGTAGAGAGCAGCAGTGAGCGGTCTTTAATACAGGAGGGGGCGGAGACAAGACCAGTCATCCTGCACAAGGAGAGAGAGAGCAGCAGTGAACGGTCTTTAATACAGGTGGGGCGGAGACAAGACCAGTCACCCTGCACAAGGAGGGAGAGCAGCAGGGAGCGGTCTTTATTACAGGAGGGGGCTAATAACATCAGTAGAATAGTCGTAAGGCAGCTTCTCATTGGTTGGAGGACACTTAGCCTAATGCAATTCCTCAGCTGCTGGTTCACAGTACCTGCCTGTTAATATTAATTGCAGGTACTGTGACCAGATACAGCGTACACTTCTTGCACTTCCCCTTTAACATGATATTCATTGTATTATTCCTACGTGTGTTTTTCTTCTCATGGGTCACTGAACTTCTTGTTTGGCTCAGAGCCGATGGGGCAAACCAAACACAAGCTTTCATTATGAAATAGAGATGCGGAAGATGGCGGCCTGAGAACAAGGAACCGAAACCCAAGCAGTGTAGGAGAGGAAGTGGGCCTGGAAGGGCCAGGTGAGCCTGATCAGAAGAGAGCAGTGCATGGAGGGTGATCAGTTGGGTGACGGAACCACGTTAAATACACATGAGCGAGCTCGAAGCAAATTACAGGTGCATCATTCTGAAATGCTCCCCTCCTGTAATAAAGACCGGTCACTGGTGCTCTCTCTCCTTGTGCAGGGTGACTGGTCTTGTCTCCGCCCCCCTCCTGTAATACAGACCGGTCACTGGTGCTCTCTCTCCTTGTGCAGGGCGACTGGTCTTGTCTCCGCCCCCCTCCTGTAATACAGACCGGTCACTGCTGCTCTCTCTCCTTGTGCAGGGTGAATGATCTTGTCTCCGCCCACTCCTATAGTTTTCTGCAGGCAGCCTGTAGTGGGTGGAGCCTTCTGGGCCCCTCCCACAGCTCTGCTCTCTCTGCAGAGGTTATGTACAGCACAGTGATGATGTCACTGCTACTTCTACAAGGTAATATCTGGCTTTGGAAAGGCATTCAGTGCTCTTAGATTGGATTTATATCCTTTGCGGTTGTTGAGGAATAGATTTGCCCAGACTTCAGCTGTAAGGTGTTCCATCTATGGTGATCATGTATGACCTCATCCACACGTTGGGATACATTTACGTCATGTCTGTGTTGGGGAATGTTATTCATGGAGCAGGCTGGCTATAATGCATCTCTACTGCACCTGAAGGCGAGATATACACAACACATTGCAACTTACAGTAAATGGATTTGACATAGTGTCCACGTCCTCACTTCCTGCCCTGGTGACACCAAGGAATGAGGGAGCAGTGATCCCCACACCAGCAATAAACTCCTCCATTTCAATAAACAGCCGACGTACCCCTGAGGTACGCCAAAAATGTATTGACTTTTTCAAACAAGGTGTCCATCACATTGTTTGAAAAAGTGGTCCCCATGTGGCCCCAAAAAGCTCACTGGATGATACACTATATTACCAAAAGTATTGGGACGCCGGCCTTTACACGCACATGAACTCTAATGGCATCCCAGTCTTAGTCCGTAGGGTTCAGTATTGGGTTGGCTCCGCCCTTTGCAGATATAACAGCTTCAACTCTTCTGGGAAGGCGTCCACAAGGTTTAGGAGTGTGTCTATGGGAATGTTGGACCATTTGTGAGGTCAGGTACTGATGTTGGGGGAGGGGCTCGCAGTCTCCGCTCTAATTCATCCCAAAGGTGTTCTATGGGGTTGAGGTCAGGACTCTGTGCGGCCAGTCACGTTCCTCCCCCCCAAACTCCCCCATCCATGTCTTTACGGACCTTGCTTTGTGCACTGGTGCGCAGTCATGTTGGGACAGGAAGGGGCCGTCCCCAAACTCCTCCCACAAAGTTGGGAGCATGAAATTGTCCAAAATGTCTTGGTGTGCTGATGCCTTAAGAGTTCCCTTCACTGGAACTAAGGGGCCAAGCCCAACCCCTGAAAAACAACCCCACACCATAATCCCCCCTCCACCAAACTTTACACTTGGCACAATGCAGTCAGGCAAGTACCGTTCTCCTGGCAACCGCCAAACCCAGACACGTCCATCGGATTGCCAGACAGAGAAGCGTGATTGGTCACTCCAGAGAACACGTCTCCACTTCTCTAGAGTCCAGTGGCGGCGTGCTTTACACCACGGCATCCCACGCTTTGCATTGCACTTGGTGATGTAAGGCTTGGATGCAGCTGCTCGGCCATGGAAACCCATTCCATGAAGCTCTCTACGCACTGTTGTTGTGCCAATCTGAAGGCCACACGAAGTTTGGAGGTCTGTAGCTATTGACTCTGCAGACAGTTGGCGACTTCTGCGCACTGTGCGCTTCAGCATGCGCTGACCTCGCTCTGTCATATTACGTGGCCTACCACTTCGTGGCTGAGTTGCTGTTGTTCCCAGTTGCTTCCACTTTGCTATAATCTCAGTAACAGGTGACCGCGGAATATTTAGTAGCCAGGAGATGTCACGGATGGACTTATTGCACAGGTGACAACCTATCACGGCACCACGCTTGTAGTCACTGAGCTCCGTAGAGCGACCCGTTCTTTCACATGTTTGTAGAAGCGTCTGCATGCTGAGGTGCCTCATTATATACACCTGTGGCCATGGAGGGGATTGGAACACCTGAATCCAATGATTTGGAGGGTTGTCCCAATACTTTTGGCAATTGGCAATATAGTGTATGTGCTTTTGTGATCCCTTTTTTTGCATGCTGACCTCTTGGCGGGACACGGGTGGTGTGTTGGCTCCTTATTGACCTTCAGTTCGGGATCACCATAAGCTCAGCACCTCGTCATTGTGGCGTATGGAAGGAGAAAAGGAGAACAGAAGGCAAACAGTGGAATAAAAAGCTGAATACAAAAAAAAAGTGAACTGAAATACTTGCCAAATGATTTGTATTTGTGTTCCCAGGCTTCAGATATATTCTACCTGGCAGAGAGCAGAGCCGGGTCCCTGACCTCAATCTTCTCCGTGGTAGTCTTCTCCAATACAGAGTGGTCAGAGACCGGCCCCAGACTGTGAACGGACACATTTGTGTCAAATCTCCAAAGCATAACCCAAGAAGTATTTTCATTACAATAAGTTATTGGTAAATGGAGCAATTATGTTTTATTCAGTTTACTAATCGCTTCATCACCCAGAACTGCGGACTTTAATCACAAGCACGTTCCCCATCAGCTCCATCTCCACTCTCTTCTTCTTTAGGACCCACTTTGCCTGCCCTTACCCTGTGCCAGAGTCATTTCTTTCCACTCGACCTCCTCCACCCTCTCCCCTGTTCTGCCATCAGCCTCTACTATGTCCCCTCTCCCCTGCTCTACCATCAACCTCTACTATGTCCCCTCTCCCCTGCTCTACCATCAACCTCTACTATGTCCCCTCTCCCCTGCTCTACCATCAACCTCTACTACGTCAACCTCTACTATGCCTCCTCTACCTCCTAACTTGTTCTGCCATCAACCTCTACTATGCCTC